GGGGCAGGCGGCTCGTGTGTGGGCTGCCAGCTCCGAGCGTGGACGAGCTGCGACTCTGAGTTAGATGTGGAGTTCAGCTTTCAGACTTGGGCGTTCATGGCAGCAAGACGGTGTTGGCATGGCCAGCTGGCCCAAGGCTGCGCAGGCTGGGACACTGCGGGTCTGTGATGAATAACTGGCCCTGCGGGATGCCCGACTGGCAGCACGGGGTAGTCCAGTTGTTAACCATAAGTTTAGGAAAGGTTCCTCAGTTATTTTGCTTTTGATTCATTGCATTCTGTATAAGCTGTTTCAAGGGAAATAATTTACTTTCAAGTAATGGGCTTTTCACTCTGAAACTGTTTTGCCAGAAAGTTGCTATGAGGTTTTTTTCTTAAATCCTCTGAGAACAGGGCATCAAGGAATTGTTTGAAAAAAGGTGTCCTGGTACAATTCCAGATGGCATGTGGGGTTAAATCATCTGAACTCCATTATCACCCCAGAGTGGATGAATGCTGTGATGTCTTGTCCAGTTAGCAACTTGCAATGAGCCATTTCCTATAAAACAGAATTGTCAATTTGCAGGCATTTTATTCTTGGCAGTACATGGAAAAAGCATTGCTCTAAGATACAAACATTTTCTTATTAGGTATGAGCACTGTTTTGCTTCCAACTGAATAATTTAGTAATGATTGAGTTGATTACTCATAGTTATTGACTCTGTATTTGCTGCCTGGGTGATTAAGACGCTCAGTCGTGCCGGAGGGGATTCAGCAGTTTCAAGGCCAGTGGAGGCTGGTGCAGGGACGTTCCCCAGAGGCAGAGTTAGAAAACCCTAGGAGAGGAGGAGAGTTAAGCACTGAAGAGGCAGCTATGATACAAAAAAAAAAAAAAATAAAATTGCAGGAGTGGTAACCTAGGGGCTCTTTGGAGGTGGAATAGCTCGGAGGCAGTCATTATCTGAATCTTACATAGAAAGGAAGAGAAAAAGCATACTTTATCCTCTGTCTTTTTTTATTGAAAAGGACAACAAACCTCTTATCCGGAATTTTATACTGGGTTGTCTACTTTGAATTTGGTAGATAATTTTTTTCACGTCTGCTTTCAGCTGACATTATTAAAAAGCATTTTTAAGGCAATTATCAAAC